CATTATAACATGATATAAAACTCAAAAGAGTTGATTTTACATGATATTGCCCCTTTAAGGCTCTATTTGATGTCTAGGGACATTGCACTCATTTCGATTTTGCTTGTATAACTTGTAATTCTATTATTGGTCATTCGATATCGCTGTACCATTTGTCATTCTGTGATTGGTTAATCGTGCACTCCGCCCGAGTGTATATTAATGCATTTTATGTATGTTGCTAGTTCAGTGGTAGCTTGACGGACTCTCTGATCGGGCCTGCTTGAGTTGCTGCTCACCTTTTGCATTTGCAAACCTTATTAAATCATCTGATGACCAAACCACGCAGTGCACCTTCTTTTATTCAYGTGTTTCTGCCTTAGTGGATATTTCTACGACACACCCTCTTTGTAACACAGAAAAGCTTTCAACAGTATTCTCCAGAACACTGTTGATGCTTCCTAGAAATGACAGCATTGAAGAAGAAGACATGACCTCACCTTTCCAGAAAACCCAGTTCTCCAAGAAGAGCTTCAGTCTCAGATGTAAACATTGGGCCTCATGCAAGAACCATTCGTACAAACGGATTTGTTCTTAAGTTGTGTGTACGAGTGATTTAGGAGAACTTGTTGCATTCACTAATTTTCTTGTATTCTAAGATTTTTTTCATATACGAACAAAATTCACATGTGGTCCAGACCTGTCGTATATTTTACGAGCAGTCAGTCTGCTGTTAGCTAGATGGATTTTTTTCACTAATAACTTTATATTTCATCAGTTTGAAGATATTTCAAGTTGAAAATAAATCACACTCCATAATTATATTGACAATAGGCTATTCTGTTTGGAGTTATAATTTTAAATGCAATAAAGTAGACTAACAACATAAAAAGGTTAAATTAAATTAAATTGGCTATTAATGCTATTGTATAACACTACAATGTTAACATGAAGTTAAATGAAGTTTGGAGACATTTTAAAATGCATTTTTTTTTTCAGAAATGCACCTGAGAACTGCTCTTCTTCTGAACAAATGAAAACACAGTTGTTTACATTTAAATTAAAAAATATTTGACAAAAGAAAAACCAGAGCAGGACTAGAGAGAGATAATTTTGATTTAGATTTTTATTTCTGACTGTATATGACCCACAGGTGACATGACATTAACAGCAGTTGTCTTTTCATTCCTCGGCTTTGGAAGGTCCTAGTTTAATTCTACTGCTGATGCTGCTAAAAATGACAGATTTTCTTTTCTGGATCTCTGAGAGCGGGACTTCAATCTCTGAACTCGTGAAGTTCTTTATTTTACTTTGCAATGTCATTTATGAATGCACATTTGCTGKCATGTGGGGCAGGAGAATATAGCCTTACATGGTATTTTTAGGGTGGTAATTATGCAAACCTTCTCTCCTTCTTGGCGTGCGCCTGGATACGCATTCACCAGTTTATGCTGCTCATTTACACACTTTTCCTGAAGATAGAAGAGTTTGTTGAATCTGACGTGGTATGTTTGTACGAACCCTTCATATGAACAAAAGTAAGAGAAATTTAGGATAAAGAATACAAAAACGTTGTTGCATGAGGCCCATTGTTTGATCGTGTTGTATCAATGCGAGGCGTGTAACTAGATAGTAGGGGAGTGAATCTTTTTCTTTCTCACGATTCAATTCGATTCTGATTTTTGGGGCCACGATTCGATTCCAAATTGATTTTTCATTCAAAACTGATAATGTGAGCCCATTTTTTGTGTTCGAAAAGTGCTTCATCTTCAATTTGCAACCCTTGCACACCTCGCTCAGGTCAAACTCAGACTCATTCAGTAAAAAACAAAATGAGCCAAAATCTTAACATTTAATGAAGACAGGGCCGGTTCAATCTTGCTTTCTTCCAGTTTTGTAGTTTCCTCTTTGCTTTGGTGCTTTCTGCTCGTTCATATGTTCCAGAAGCAGCTGCAGGATGACGTCAGGACGTCCCATGTAGTTACAAAATGGAGGCTGACAGCTTTTAGATTTGCTTTATTTTTTATTTCTAAAAAATAATTTTGGGACATTTTAAATAGATTCTTAATCTTTGTAAATGAGAATAACGATTCTGATGTAAAATTATTTTTTGGTGCACTCCTACAAGAGATCCCTCAGGAACAAGTTGTTCTTACAACAGTCCTAATCATAGTATAAAAACAAACTGATTGCATGTTGATTATAAACATATTGAAAAACCTCTAAAAAATGCAGGAGAGTGGCCCTCACAGTGTCATTTATCTCTGGAGGGGTGGAGCCTGTTAGCAGAAAAGGGGTATTAAACTCGCTGCTTCTTTCAGAGAACAGATCCAAACAGATCTGCTTTTTGTTTTGTTGCATTTTCATCATCTGTATTTCCAAAGATGACTTGGATCATGAAGAGTTTTTTCATCACTCTGGCCGTCTTGTTTCTTTCTCGAG